AGATACTGACAGAAAAAAATCCGCAAAAGGGACGAAATCCCAGTCTACCAGCGCCTTTCTGCTCTGCCGACGATCTCCGATATCTGCCGGGAAATCACAGATACTTGCGGCTGAGAGCAGAGCCGGTTTTCACTGGGAGTGAAGACCTGTGCATCAAGAAACACGAACGGCAAAGGCTGGGCAGCAGCGGGGGATGGGGGAAACGGACTCAGAGTGTGGGATGAATGTCAAGGTGAAGCACATGGCTATTGCACCTCGAAGTCAGAGAAATGCGAAGGACGGAAAGTAGAGTGGGACGCGAAATCGAGGAAAAGGAAACGAATGGACGGCATACACATATATCAGTCACTGTGTCACGTACCAAACGTAGTAGCCGGACATGACAATGACTCGTAATGAACGGGCCAGCCGGTCCCGGCCGGACTTTCCAAAACATCCCTTTACCAACGGACCAGCCGGATGCATACAAATGGCTTGCGGGCACGGCGTCTCTTGCCGCGGCAGCTACCTACGGCAGCCTTCTGGGTGTCCCGTCGGCATCACACCATAGTTCCCCAATCTTTACTAGAACAACTGTAATACTGTTACCTGCTTTGATGTTGTACTGTTTGCTTCTATCAGTAGTAGCTAATTGTAAACCTCCACCCTAAGCTACTTGCTCTACCACACAGCTGCTGGTCAGCAAAGCATGCTGTATATACCCCAACCTGCTCCAATGGTAAATTACCTGTGTCCATAATATTAATAAATGACATCTATTGAAATTGAATATGTCAACTCTGGTTAAGCATTTGATTGACTCCAATGGGGCGGTTATTTCAACTCCCATGGGGCATTTGATTCACTCTGGCAGAGAATTTTTAGCTGAGTATGTCAACCACCATGGGCATTTAAATTTGACTATTTTGACTCCATGAAGAATTTGATTGACTTGAGGGGTTATTATGTTTAATTGTAAATGCATTGCCAGAGTTGACATACTCAATTTCAAATGCCCTGGAGGAGTGAACCCAATGCCCCATGGGAGTCAACATATTTGATTTAAAATACCCTGTCAGAGTAAATAAAATGCCCTGGAGGAGTAAACTACATGCGCCGCGGGGGTCAACATATTTGACTCTAAATTTCATGACAGAGTGAATAAAATGCCCTGTCGGAGTGCCCTGTAAGAGAACATATTTAATTTTATATGCCCTGACAGCATGAATAAAATGCCCTGTCGGAGTGAATTAAATGGCCGCAGGGTCAACATATTTGATTTTAAATTCGCCGACGGGGTCAATAAAATGCCCCGTCGGAGTGAATAAACTGCCCCGCGGGAGTTAACATATTTAATTTTAAAAGCCCCGACGGCGTAAATAAAATGCTCCGTCGGGGTGAATTAAATCGCCGCGGGGTCAAAATATTTGATTTTAAATTCGCCGATGGGGTCAATAAAATGCTCCGTCGGAGTGAATAAACTGCCCTGCAGAAGTTAACATATTTAATTTTAAATGCCTCAATGGAGTGAATTAAATACCCCATGAAAGTCAATCAACTGTCTCCCACCCAATTCAAATTTTATATTCCCCATCGGAGTGTATTGAATGCTTTGCAGGAGTCAACATATTTAATTTTACATGCCCCGACGGAGTCAATGAAATGCCCCACCGGAGTTGTGGGGGGAAAAAATGAGCTGTACTGTTATAGCTTCTCAATACATCTTTCCAGCATACTACAACTGTTGTAAAATAGGTTCAAGTTTACTTTGGAAAAGAATTTTGGCGCATGGTGGAGAAATGAGGTTGAATGCATGAAATATCTCACAACATGATATTGTTGACTTTTCTGTATACTTTGCTACCAAATCTCAACATCTGAGCCTTTCTTATACATAGTTAACATATGGCAGAATATATATCCCCTGCTCCAAAGCAGTTTTCTGATGGTTTGGGGGAGCTGGAGCTTGAAAGGGTGAAAATATGACTCTAAACATGAAACCACATTCTTTCTTATTTCCTTTCACTATCTAAATCTTGTTGAAATGCTCCCATACTTTCCCCAAATATAGCCTACATACTTTAGAATCAATTCAGATA